TATCTTCCTTCCTATACCTCTCCCACTTTCACTCACATTCTTCTCTGCAATCTCTCCTTCTTCCCACCTCTCTTTTCCCACCTCTCTTTTCATTAATCCAATTTTCATCAAATCAAACTCTTATCCACACCATTACAACACCACTTTACCCCCGCACCTTTTATCTTCTTTCTCTCCCTCCTCCTCTACCTTCTCCTCACCTCCTTCACATTCTCAATACCTTCACCACCCCTATTTTTCCATCCTCCTTTTTTTCTCAATACTCCCTCTCAACAATTTTCAATTCTTTTTCCATACCTTTCCCCTACACTACATTCCTCTTCCCATTCCTTTTCCAATTTTATTCTCATGATGTTAATTCTCCCTTTCATCGACTCCTGACCCCTTCCCCTCACCTTCACTTCTTCCTTCTTTCCTCCGTGCCCCTTTTCGTCTCTTCCCCTTCCATCCGATCAATGCCCCTTTCATCTTCACCCATGCTTTTTGATTTTTTTCCTCGCTTCGTGTTCTGCTTGTCCCACTGCTCATGCTTTTCGCCACTCGCTCGCTCCCATCTCTTTCAATCCTTCCCCTTCGTTCAATATCTTCCGTTTACCTTTCCTATCCATCTCCTCTCTCGCCCCATCTCGCACCTTTTTTTTATTTATTTTTTTTTTTTAACTTTTTACCTTCCCGCCCGTCCCTCACGCCACCTGTTGCGCTTCCTCTCTCCAAATCTTTCTTCTCCTGAAAGTCGACTTTCCAAACCGATCATCTTTCCCTCAACTCTTGCTGCTCTTTCAATCACACATTTTGCCAAACGCCGCCTCCCCGTCCTGCTCTCTCAAATCCCTCTGTTTTGCATACTTCCTAATTTTTACCTGATTGCCGCATCTTCATCTTCCTCTCCGCCGCTTTGTTGCTCAATTCCTACTTCACGCTCAATGATCCGGTACCGTCCTCACGCCACCTGCTTCCCTTTCTCTCGACTTGTATCCTTGCACGCGTTTCAAACTTTTGCTTCCTCGCCTTGATATTATAAATTGATGTCTTTCAACAATCCTTTCACCAACGCATTAGCGGTTAGCCTCCGATCGTGTCGCTGTTAGCGGTTGCGCCGAGCCCACATGACAATAAACATTCTGAAAGTTTCGATTGAGTACCGACAGTACAGCGCACTAAAAGCTCGAACGTTGACTTGTCATGTAAAATTAATGGCCACCACGACAAAAAGAACCCAAAAATTGAACAAATGCGAGCGACGGGCCATTCGCGAAGACCGAGTGACAGCCGGGCCCCTGGTCACAATTTTCGGCGCACGTCAAAACAAAGCACACGTCAACTGCTTCATGCGCTTTCCGTGCTCACGATGGAGTTCTCGTCCACCTGGAACCATCCTGTGACACGCAAGCCCCACCATCAGTACCCCCCTCGAAGCGGCTCAAACAAAGCAAACGGCGCGCCGCAACACCAAATGGCAGCCTGCCCCCTGGTCACAATTTACGGCGTACGTCACAACAAAGCTGCCCTGGCATTCTTCACACGCATTCGGTGCTCACTTTGGAGTCCTCATCCACCGTCGGCCACCCTGTGACCTGCCAGCCCCACCATCAGTACCCCCCTCTAACCGGCCAAAAAACAACCAAAGGCGCGCCTTGGCTCCTCAGCCAACACCAAATGGCAGCCTGCCCCCTGGTCACAATTTACGGCGTACGTCACAACAAAGCTGCCCTGGCATTCTTCACACGCATTCGGTGCTCGCTTTGGAGTCCTCATCCACCTTCGACAGCCCTGTGACCCGCCAGCCCCACCATTAGTACCCCCCTCGAAACGGCTCAAACAAGAAAAAAGGTGCGCTCCTTGGCCAACACCAAATGGCAGCCGGGCCCCTGGTCACAGTTTTCGGCGCATGTCAAAACAAAGCTCACCTCGCATTGTTCGCACGCTTTCGCTGCTAACTATGGAGTCCTCGTCCACCGTCGACAGCCCTGTGATCCGCCAGCCCCACCATTAGTACCCCCCTCGAAACGGCTCAAACAAGAAAAAAGGTGCGCCTTGGCTCCTCAGCCAACACCAAATGGCAGCCTGCCCCCTGGTCACAATTTACGGCGTACGTCACAACAAAGCTGCCCTGGCATTCTTCACACGCATTCGGTGCTCGCTTTGGAGTTCTCATCCACCGTCGGCCACCCTGTGACCCGCCAGCCCCACCATTAGTACCCCCCTCGAAGCGGCTCAAACAAGAAAAAAGGTGCGCTCCTTGGCCAACACCAAATGGCAGCCGGGCCCCTGGTCACAGTTTTCGGCGCACGTCAAAACAAAGCTCACCTCGCATTCTTCGCACGCTTCCGCCGCTCAATGGGAAGTATTCATCCACCTGTGGCTATCCTGTGACACGACCCAAACTTGTGATCGAGCTGCGTGCGGCCATAGACGTTGCGTGCCGTTCTGCCTGCATGCTGGCTTTGAGAGTGTGCCACATTCAACGCCCCCAATGAAGGCTCGGGCGTATGATGCAACACCAGTGTACGCGGCCAAGCCACGCTCATATGACATGCACTGTCAGTGATGCTCGCTCCAAGAAACCGCTTGGCCACGGCCTGGATGGCTGCATAGACTTGGCCTAGACGGCGCTCTGCAGTCTGAATTTTGGCTTTCCCGCTGCTGCCGACGCAGACTCACCCGCGCTTGAGGTCAGTCACGTCTAAATTCAACTTGGTGACGATGTGAAGGAGGCATGAGAGCGCTTTGAACCTTTGCAAGTTCGTGCCGGCACAGACATCGCACAAGTTGACTTGCAGACACCAAGGACCTTGACAACCAGACACGGATCTACTGCATTTAATTGCCACAATACCCAAGCTCAACTGGATACGATCGCTCGCAAAACAAGACCACCGCTCAACGCCCTCATCACCAGCTCGCGCAGCGCCGCATCCACCACTACCGAGACACTATTGCTATTATCCGTTGTCATGGTAAAAGAAGACGAAGCGGTTTCTCGCTCTTTTCCGTGCTTGTTGGACGGTTCTGCTTCAGACGGTTGGCAAGGCCCGCCCTGCCCATTGACTTTACTTTCTTTTTGCATAGCAATCGACAAGCCACTCTAAAGCGCCACAAATTTCAATTTGTAAAAAAGTATCAAGGTGCAGCTACAGAGGCGGACGTTAGGGCATCCACGCGGTCACCAAGCGTTTGTAGGTCTTGGTTATTGAACAATTGAGGATCCAAGTGCCAGCCGACGCTACAGAGAACATCAGCAGCGCACCGCCAGCGTTTGACCTGCTCCGCATGAATCAAGTTGCCGGAGAAGAAGACATTTCTGGCGCTGGCGGAGGAGTCGCGATAGATTGAAAGGTTTGATGGTGTCCTGAGGTCAATTGAACCAGCTGCGGTCGGGAAGCATTCACAGTGACCAGACCAGGTGCACCGTTAGAATAGCTGTCGAGTTGCTAATCCCGAGGATAGAGCAAGTGCAACTCGTGTCCGACCGCATGTGTCACAACAAGGAGAGAAAATTGATCTTGCCGGTCACCTGGACATGTGCGCGGCATTCCTAAACCATGACGACTGAATGACAACGTGCCTTTGAACCACTTGTCATACGCAGGTCTGTTCATGTATGGTTCCAGCTTCTTGAATCTCTTACATCAGCTGGATGAGCTTGCGCCACTCGTCGGACAGAAATTGGTGGCCATACTCTGATTCGCTGGACGCAACCTTGTGGTCGCGCTGCGTGCGGCCTTGGACGTCGCGTGCCGTCCGACCTGCACGCTGGCTTTGAAAGTGAGTTACATCCAGCGCCCCTAAAAGCTCGGGGGCATCATGCATCACCAGTGTGCGCAGCCAGGCCACACTCATGTGCCGCCATGCGCTGACAGTGATGCTGGTTCCAAGAAATCGCTTGGTCACGGCCTGGATGGTTCGGTAGACTAGGCCTGGTCGAAGCTGTTTTTCGAGCTGCATCGGCACAATATTGAATAGCAGCTCATACGTGCCCTCCAGTTCGACACGCTTGACCGCTCGCAGATCAGCGTGCTGGTCGTCAGCAGGGCTGGAAATGTTTGGCGCGACCGAATCTTCGACCTCCATCGCGCCGGCCTCGAGCTCATCTTGCTGCTCTTCCGTCAAAGAATTGGAATCTATTGCCGAGGACGCGATCAATTCGCCTCGCTCTTGCAAGTAATTAGCAAACAGCTCCTCCAATGGCTTGCACAATAGCAGGTAAGCCATCATAATTGCACTGGTCCGCTCGTCCATGTAGTGTATAGCATGCGACTCGGGGTTGCTGATCAATGTAGCTTCGCCTTGTTGCGCGACAAACGCCAAGCGGTTGCCGGAGAAGAAGACATTTCTGGGGCTGGCGGAGGAGTCACGATAAAAAAGGCTCGTGTATACCGTCGCATGCATGGGTGGGGCTATGCACGGGTGTATGGTGAGACTCTGCGCATGTAAAATTTGCTTGCAACAAACAACACCACTCAAACGATCAGACGTACCAGTTGACAGGTGTGTATAGGTCAATGCCAGGCGATTAAACTCTTGCAGGGAGCAGATCCACCGCCACACTGATTCTACGCTGAACTTGCCGGGTGCATTAGGCATGGTAAACGCCTTGACCAGCTCTGGAGTTTCCAAGATGTGCTCCAGCAGCATTGCATAAAAGTCACGACCGCCAGCGTCCTTCAAATCCTGGCCTACCCAGGACTGTGGGGGCCCGGGCTGATCTGAGTCAAGCAGTGAGGGCAAGACAGCATAAACTCGCTTCTCCAGCCCCGAGTTGAACAGGAGGTCCTTGGTGAGAATTTGGTTCATTCCTGCTCGCATAGCTCGCAGACCTGTCCCAAGCTTAGACACGTCCATATGAATGCCATTCACCGTCAAAGCCTGAAACTCCTGTCCGGGGGCTGGCTGCGTTTCAAACACCACGTTAACACCGTATTTGCCCTCCTCCGAGGTGCATTTGCGAACATAGGTCAATCTACTACCAAGATAGTAGCAAATGCGGCCCTCCGTCAACCGCGTCTTGACAGCAGTATCATCCGTCAGCGCGCCAGGACCATTTGGATCGAGCTGGCGGCGGAAGAGCAGGAACAAGCGGCAGATCCACAACAGAGCTGCCAGCGTTGGCGTCCAGCTGCTTGGCTGCTTAAAGGTGTTGTTGGCTTGCACCGTCGTGCAAAGAATATAGATGGTGGGACAGTACTCCAAGTCCAAGTTGTTCATGTCCGTGCTTTCATCAAGGATGGCACACCACACGTTGGTCAACGCCTCGGATAGCGCAGTGTTATTTTGACCTTGGGCCACTTCCACGTCGTCCAAAGCTTTTGCCAGCTCGTCACTGATTCGACCAGGAAGCTGGCTGTCACGGCGCCGTGCTCGTAAGAGGTATTGCACGTAGCGCGTAGCCACAATTATGTAGCGATCGTAGCTCTGCTGCATGACCTTTTGATAAAAGCGGGTCGTAAGCACATTTCCCGATTTGGTGTATAGTCGTCCAAAAACTTCGCGAGCCGCCGTGTCGTGTAACGTGTTTTCGTGCGTCTTGTCCAAGAGACCATGCATGCACGTGATTAGCGTCGGGTTGATCTCGCTAAATCCCAGCTCTCTGAATTGGTTGAGTGCCAATCGGTCAAGCAGTACCCCAAGGCCCAGGGTCTGATAGACCGGGTGGAGTCGTCGCAAGTTGACAACAAAGTGCTTTTTTCTCTGAGCCTCGAGCAAAGGCGAAAAGGCTTGCGCGTCCACATGAGGTCTTTTGGATGGCTTGTGTTGCTGGACCTCCACATAGCTTGAGCCCAGTCCTCCTTTCCTGAGCCGCTGCATCCAGACTTTTCGAGGCACCTCAGTGGTGGCTGGATCACCAACATGGCATTGTTCATGTCGCACCAGGCTTTCTCGTGTTGAAAAGCAAAAGGTACAGCAAGGACACCTATAGCCCCGATGTACTGGGATGCATGGGTACGCAGGTCGGCAGCCGTTCATGTCGAGTTTGGGTACCTTTCGTGGCGTTGCTTCCTTGATGAGGTCCATGGCAAGCGATATGTCTGCATCTTCTACGTTCAGGCAGTGGCGCTTCAGGTGCTGGGCTGGGTGTTCGCTCAATGCGTACCCGCACTTGCCGCAAATCAGTATCCACTCGTACTCATCCAGAGCCAGACCAAGCGATTCCAGATACATTTTGGCGCGCGATGCATCAGCATTTTTGCCCAAGGAAACTTGATGATGAGGATATCGGCGTTTAGGCGCTCCAATGACCGACTTTGGAGCGTTGTTGATCCCCGAAGCAGGGCTGTGAATGAGCATGCCGCCCAGCTCGGCAGAAGTATTCTCTGCCATAGCCATGTGCTTTGCTCTGATGTGCCGTCTCACGCCCTCAGCCTTGGGGTAGCGCTTCTTGCAGCCGTAAATCGGACAGCAAAATTTGCCATCGAGTGCCGCTCGTTTTAAAAGAAAGTTTCTTTGACCGATGGTGATCCGCGACTCTTGTTGATGACGCTACAAGTTGGTTGCAAAGCGATGTGAGAGCGAGACAGAATGAAATCGAACGCCGAGCAGCACGCGAGGTTTATTTTGCGCTGATGATGCGCTTGCTGCTTCTGCGTCGTAAAAGTTTGAGCGCATGATCGACATGTGTGGGTCGACTGCGCTCCACCCTGAGTGCTTGGACATCCATGCTGCTCTGTTGCGTGTTTGTGTCAATTGAAGCACAAGGTCTGTGAATGTCCAGGCTGGTTGACTAAAATCTCCACCTACGAATGAGCAGGTGAGGCCGAACATGGGGAGAAAACGGAGGTGAATGTCACGATCTGGCTTTTGAATGCCAGCCGCCGTCATTGTGGGTGTTTACCGACCTGGCCAAGCAGAAAGCGTGCGAGACCAGGATCCTCGATGACTCGGGTACTGTTGCACGCACCGATACTGATGGTTGCCCCACGCTGAACCACGCCGCCAGCGACAGCAATGCCTCGACTTGGCGACTGATCAAAAAAAAAAAAATGTGACCACACACAACACACACAAACACCAACAATATCTCGAGTCTTTTCTAAACGCCGTCACGTTTCCATACAGCTCAGTTCTTCGATTTCCACAAGGTTTGCTACAGAAAGTCAAATCTTCAATTTCTCTGATTTGTTCTACATTATGTGTCATGATTTTAGCTTTATGACTTTAGTCTCAAGACCAAAACGGTTCATTATCCTTTATATTGGATGCAATTACAAGGTCCACTTTCTCCCGACTGATTCAGGCCTGCTGGCGCATCATTCAGTATTCCTGTCAATCGTGTCAACGCCTGTAAGGATCCGTGCACTCTTTTGCATGTGGCGCAAGAGCATCAAGATGCCAGGTGTCAGGCGTTCAAACAGTACTTGGCAAGGCAGGCGAGGTCAATTTGCGCTCCGTCCTGGCAAGACGCAGCTCATTCCGCATGACAGAGAAAGCCCAGTGGCTATTGAAACACACTTGCATAATTGTCTTGGTCTGTAACACGCATCATGGTGGTCTCGGTCCTCATACTCCCACTATCATACTATCCAACCATTAAAACAAATAGTCTGTCGCCCATGTTATTATATCACAGCCCTCGCGGCTGCCCCGATCAAAATCTCAACGCTTTCAATCACAAACTCCACAAGGTGCCAATGGCCTGCCGGCAGATGCTGGTCTTCCGAGTACAGCCATGCAATAAATCTTTCGCGAAAATGTCGCGTCTGCAGCGTGCCGGGCCGAAGATTGTATCCCATCCGCTTGGCCAGTTGGCGCAGCCGCGGATGACAGTCGGCAAGGAGGATGATGGAGCTCAAGACTCGTCCGAGGCCTTTATCGATTGCACAGCTCGGCAAATGCTTCAAGGGGTGGCCGCCAATCCTAGATGGCATGCCACATCTGGCGCAACATTCTCGTGTGGCAGATTCAAAATCGATGTTGCACTCATCGGCACTGTGCCCCGCGAGATGGCACCGGGTGCATGTGTCGTCTGATTCGGGACAGATATGTTGAGGTTTCCAGACGGCTTGAGACTGGCGAATGGTACATGGCATGCAATAGGCATGCATCAACCTCAGCGCATCCAGAAACTTGTCAGCCGCCGCCTTGTGGATCAGGCGCGAGCGCGTCGTCTTGGCTCGCTTGTTTGATCTCAGGCGTGGCATCGGCGCCGCTTCACATCCTTGCGATGATAAAGCAGCCGGGGGCAATGTATCAGATGCCACACGTTTGGCAGAAGGGCGCGTAGAGTGTGCGCCAGAAAGTCCAGACCTTTGCTTGCCCAGCAAAGAGCAAGGGTGCTGCGTGGGCTCGGCCTCTGCGGCAGGGTCTATATCAAGAGGGCCGTCACCGTCAGAGGAGCTCTCCATGGATGAGGCTTGGGAAGCTATTCGTTCCGCCAGAGCGCGGGCACGCGTAAGCCGCAGCGCTGCCGAGGGAACGTTTGCCCTGGGCCGTGGTGACAAGGCATCGGGAGCAGATGGGACGGGCAAACGTATCGGCAAGGCCGAAGGTACCGGTAGAGATGGCAACGGTGCTCCAAGACGAGGCAATAAAGCTGTGGAAGTCTGCGTAGCCTCGTTTGAAGCTGCAGCTTCTGTTGCGGGCCGAGGCACACTTCCACTCTCTGAAGTGGTTTTGGCCCGCAGATCTGGCATGGAAGAGCATGGTGCATCATCTTCTTGAAGTTCTGTCAGGGAATCAAACTCAAGCTCAAAGTCAGATGCCGTCGGTGTTGCTGGCAGAGACATGATGGGTTCCGCGGCCTCTTCGTCAAGTCGTCCAGCACGTGGCCTTGGCAAAAAATCAGCCATGGCCGAGCCTGCTTCAGAGGCTGTCGTCACGCCGGATGCTGGAGGTTGACGATTGTCACTGTTCTGCACTGGCTGCGCCCGAGCTTCTTCCAGTCGTTGTGCCTGAAGCTCGGAATCTGACACCGTGGGTGAATCTGACACAGGCATAGGCTCTGCGATATCTGCATCAAGTCGTTCAGCACTTGGCCGTGGCGATGCATCAGCCATCACTGGTTCCAGTGCAGTCTCGCCCGATCGAGTGACATGTTCACTGTGTGCGGCGATGCTTGGCTGCACTTCCTGCGCCATTTGCGTGCACACGTCACAGAGAGCCTGGCCGGTGGCAAGACATGTAACAGCGCGGGGATCCAACATTTTGCCAAGCGTCCACCTTCGACACACACTGCCCTCGACAAAGGCCTCGATGCCCGGTGCTGGGGTGCACCTGACTGGCAGCCACAACTCGGCAGCTCCGCCCTTACCATCACGGCCAGCCCGACCAAATGCCTATAGCCGATTACATGCACACCATTAGCTCAATGAACAATTGTTTTTTTGTTTTTTTTTTGTTTTTTTAGAGACAGTTCCGCGGACGTTTGGGCAACAACTCACCTTTACCAGGGTATAGACGTCATGGCCACTGCCATACCACAGCACGTGACGGACGGTAAACAGGTCCACGTCCGTGCTCAAACAGCTGGTGGCCACAATGACGTCGCATTCACTTTGTTGCCACCGTGCCAGATGGTCCTTCTGCGCCATCTCTTCCAAGCCTGCATAGTAGGGCAAGGCTGCATAGCCGCGTGCGTGCAGCTGATCACACAACAGCTTCACCTCGGTCACCATGTCGCAAAAGACCATCATGTGCACACGCTCCTCATTCTCCTGACGCGTCATCCGCTGCCTGTCTACAAGACCTTGCACGTGCGACAAGAAGGCCCGCTGGTCGCCGTGATGCACACGCAGCTCCACATTGTGACGCATCGTTTCCAGGCGGTACAGTTTGCCCCCTGCTTGCTGGCCCAGTTGTCGAAAAAGCCGCTCTTGGTCGCACATGCATAAAGTATCAGTCAAGGCCACGCGCTTGATGTTGGTCCATCCGCCAGAGGCCACGCAGGCCCCGACTTGAGCCATCATGTTTCGGTGGCTGGCATCAGAGATGAGCGTGTGCGCCTCGTCCAGAACCACGGTTCTGATGCCTTGGAAGCAAGCTCGTGCGTGCAGGGCGTCAGACCCTGCGCAAACAAACTTGTCAGCCGTGATGATAAGCACATTGAGGCCAGCTGCTACCGGCGTCGATGGGCCCAGCCACCTTTGCGCACTGTGGCCAGCCGCTTGCAAACGCCGCAACAAATCGTCTGCCGAGGTCGCAAAAGGCACAATCCACAGCACCGTGCCGGCATGCGGGTGACAACCCAGTTTGGGCATGGTACAAAGCGTCTTGTCCATGCCTGACGGTGCAACGACAATCAGCCAGCCG